GGCAAATAAGCTCAAACGTACAAAGAATGAACAGGGCGAATATTAACACGCTTTAGGCTGTCTCCAACAATGAGTAGGCAAATACTACATCTTTGGGTCATACACAGTGAATGCATCCCCACCCAATTTTTACTCCTCTCCAACAGCGAACCAAAAACGAGAACGCAAATCTCGTCCCACGGCCTCCCCTGCTCTTCCCCCTCCGCCTCGCTGTCCTCCGCTCACTCCTCACTGCCGTCCTCCGCCTCCGCCTCGCCGTCCTCTTCCTCGCATGGCCTCCCTCCTCCCATTGTTCCTCTCTCGCGCCGGCCGTGGGCTCGCTCCCCGCGCCTCGCCCTTGAGGAAGGCGCCGTCCCCCTCCGCCTCGCCCGCTGCGAGCTCCCCACCGCCCACGAGCACACAGGCGCCACCGCCTGCGCCTCACTGCTGGGCGCGAGATCTCGCCAGCCCAGCGTCACTGAGCCGTGGCAGGGGGCGGGCGCTGGCGACTGGAGGTGGATCTGGACTCGGTCGAGCGCACGGGAGCCCCAGCGACCCTGCCCCGCGGCTGCTCACGGGCCTTCCCCGGCGGCCGGCGCACGTGAGAGGGTGGAGCAGGAGCGGAAGAAGGAGAGGGAGCAGCGCCTCGACGACGTGATGGAGCGTCGGCGATTTGCGTCTTGGAGAGAGAAGATGCAAAAATGAGTCCTGGTTCGGCTCGTACCCAAAATGGGTACCGCGAATGTGTCGTCTGTTGAAGCGTGCTAAACTACTGTGTACAACCTTTTTTGCATTTGAGTTGCCCTTTGCATGAGCTGTTGGAGACAGCCTTAGTTCTGCCATTTTTCTTTTTTTAATATCCCGACATTCCTGAGTTCGTACCCGTTTCCAGGTGTCCCATTTCTTCATTACGTTTTCCAGAAAAATGATGACCGCCTGCAGGATCCATGTCTGCTGTTGACAGGCCCATCAAGCGCAGGCCATGTTTAGTTCTCCTTAATTCCAAACTTTGGCACTATGCAAAAAGAAGATTCTCCATCACATCAAACTTGCGGTACATGCATGGAGTACTAAATGTTGACAAAATCAAAAACTAATTGCACAATTTTATTGTACTTTACGAGACGAACGTTTTAAGTCTAAGTAGTCAACGATGGGACAATTATTACCAAATAAAAACAAACGACACTGTATCTACAGTGTCGCTACAGTGTTTCAGGCGGCGCAGAATCCGCCGAACTAAACGCGGCCGCAGTTGTATTTATTGATCCGGTTACATTCGAAGTTCAGCTGAGAGTTAAGGGAAAAATAGAGCCTCTGGATATAGGATTGGTTCGTAGTTCCTCGGAGAAAAGAAAGTTGTCCCTTTCATGATTCAGAGCCGTTGCTCGAGTAAGCGGAGCATGTTTGATTTCACTTTTGCAGCACTCGTTGACACAGTTGAGGCCACTGTGTCATGGCCAAATCATGTGGGAGAAGTATATTCTACGTAAGACTAACTGCTTGTTGGCTGGCTGGGGCTGGCCAGGCCACTCAGCGGGACACTGTTCACGTCATACTAGAACAGTATTTTCCTCTCACAATAATCAGTCAGAACAATATTTTTCAGTCCTGTCGAACATGCCCTAAGCTTCCCTGGACTGTTTCAATGGATTTAAGAGGAATGTTGAAGAAGTTCCTGTGGTGGCTTCCCAAGTTGCTAGCACACCAAATGCTATTAAAAAAGGGAAAACCCTTCCTAGAGATATTTCATCAAGAAATCTCAACCACAGGGTTAAGAAAATACCACGCGATAGGGGTCTGTTCGGCAGGACGGAAAAATAAGCCAAAATACTGTTCCGGCTGATTGTTGTGAGAGAAAAATACTGTACTGTCTGAAAACACTGTTCACGTGAACAGTGCCGCTATAAGAGCGCTGGCCAGCCAGCTAAACGCGGCCAGTGTTATCACAAAACAAGTGTACAACTGCTTCACCAGACCTGACCTTTTGAGTTCATGTAAGTACATGAGCATGAGTCCTGTAAAAAATATTTCCAGGGCGCAACCAGCAATGGAGTCACATTGCACCAAACAGTCAGATCTCGGAACTGAAATATTCAAGCTGAATGTTGCGCGCAAAAAAACATAAATGTAAAATAGAGGGCAAAACAGCAGAATCGACATGAACTTCCAGCCACAAAAAATAAAGATCCAATTCTTAGAAGGGCCTTGCCATTCAGAAAACTATTCTTTTATATAATCCTTTGTATTATGTTTGCTTAGTTAAAGAAGGCTGAATAGTATGGCATTGAAAGAAAGAAAATCATGGCTGTATGCTTTTTTTGCTTCAACTTGTCTTGTGTACTCAGATTACACAACAGTCTGCAGAAATAAGAAAGTAAGAAACTGGTATTTGTGGACGAGATGCCAAAGTATGAACCGTCAATCAGTCAGGTGTTAAAGTGTTATATCAACTGAATTACAACAGTTCATGAGAGGAGATATACCATTCTTTCATATACTACCTAATGGCCCGGGCATTGCTACAGGCATCATAAATTATATCAAACTAATTTATTTCCACAGTCATAGCTATGAATGCTACTTGCAAGTTGAAAGGAAAATTTGTTCTCAAAGGATCACAAATCCATCACCCTTATTATGCTTCAAAGACACATAAGTGTTAACGTGGATTCTGTAAAATAGAGTATGCCAAAAATTTCTTTGCAGTAGAGCATAGCTTCTATTCTTTCCCTATTTCAACTTTCAAGTGCGACAAATCTCAATTTGACATATATATCTTAAAAGAAAATTTGTTCTAATTCATGTTGGCAGCTTCCTTGAAGCGCGGGCCTTGTGTAAGCGGTAGAGTCTTACCGCCTGTGACCGGAAGGTCCCGGGTTCGAGTCGCGGTCTCCTCGCATTGCACAGGCGAGGGTAAGGCTTGCCACTGACACCCTTCCCCAGACCCCACACAGAGCGGAAGCTCTCTGCACTGGGTAGGCAGCTTCCTCACATTTTGTTCTTGAATAGCCAATTCATGCCACCCAGGTGAACATAACTGGAAATGTGCCAAAGTACAACTCTAAAATACAATAGGCTAGCCATAAAAATCCTTAAATCAATCAACTAATGGTACCTGAGTCGTAAAGCCTTGTTCCGAAAGAATGACATGTAAAATTAGGAAGTAACAAATATCTCACAGTTATAAACGGGCCTGGTGCAAGCGGTAGAGTCTTACCGCCTGTGACCGGAAGGTCCCGGGTTCGAGTCGCGGTCTCCTCGCATTACACAGACGAGGGTAAGGCTTACCACTAACACCCTTCCTCAGACCCCGCACAGAGCGGGAGCTCTTTGCACTGGGTACGCCCTTTTTTTTATAAAGTGATATCATACAGGTTTGCTAGCATCAGATACATTTAACATTTTGCATGTCACCTATGTTGGCAGCAGTACTGAAGCAAAAGCTCCAATCAGAAGATACACAATCAATAGAGCTAGTATACCTATTTCTCAGTTCAATACCAAGCAAAGTACATAGCTGTATTACAAAGATTGCCTCCATGTCAACTTCTTATATCTAGCACCAATATCATGTCAAATTCTTATTTTGCATGTCATCTGTGCTGGATGGTATGTCAAGATGGTTGTATGCATTATCATGCAAAGCAGATTTTCCACTTTATATAAGCAGCTGTGCTGCCACAATAAGAAAGACTCAGAATCCCAGTTCTTGTAATAAGGATATAAGAATCCAAACTGTTCTCACCTGGATGTGGGAAATAGAGATAAACATGCCGTCATGGAATAACTACTTTTCAATAGGAATAGCACAGTACTAGTCACACAAAAAAAAAGGGAATAGCACGGTACTATTTTGTTAATATATCATCAAATGTACGTTATCTTTTGTCTACTTTGAGTGTGTTCAGAAAATAATACCTTTCCTGTATTCTAATCATTAAGATGGTGAATGAGAGCCACACATGGCATGTGAGACTTGCATACCTATTTTACATTAACCAGAAAGCTGCCAGGCGTACATACTGATTTTTTTAAGCTAACCAAAAGTTGTCAGCCCTCTAAAGGAATAAGAAATCTCATTACTCAACAAGAGTCTGTTGAGTCCACCGATCATGGACCATTAGAAAGGCGGGTTAGGCCCTTATGACTTGGTCTCCATTGACCAAACCTGAGATAATTTCTAACACTGATAAGCTGCCAGGGCATTGCTGGAATTGTCTTTAGCCAGGTGCCAACATTAGCCGTGGTGGCGGTGCGCCCTGGACTCCTGGTCTTCCACGACAGGGTCACAAGGTTCATCAGGTCCGATGTCACTCGATCCTAAAGCCGAGGGCTAATGGAGTTTGCAGCGCACTGATGGGTGATTGGGAGCGTGCAGGCAGCGACAGGTGGGCGATGGGAGGGCAAGCAGAACGTGCGACATGAAGGAACAGGGGAGCGGAACAGACGAGCGAGGCGACGAGTGGGAAATGCAGGAATGCGGTGCGGAGGATGGCACAACGGCACCACTCGTGGAAGGTGCTAGGGGAGGCAGCACATCCTTGAGGCGGAGGGAGGGAGGTGGTGTTGCAGAGCCAAGGGCAAACTGGGAGGCTCTCATGGAGGAATGGGAGGTGGAACGTGGCCCCATCTGTCGGGCGCATGAGAGGAAAGGTGACAAATGGATGGAGGTGAATTGCTTACTTGTTTTTTAAACAGGGGAGAAATGCAACTGAACCACAAGGTAGGAGCTACAAAACAAAATCGCTACTGATTACTGAGCAGTATAACTTCACCATTGATTAGATGACATGAGTTTATAAGTGCAAGTTTTTCGTAAAAAGTGTATTTATGGTGCAGCCAGGGTGCTAAGTGCTAACTGACAATCAAAGGCTCAGAGCACATTAGTAACAAGCTCATCACACATTACTCCAAAAAATGCAATCTTGAAACTAAAATTTTCAAGCTTGAACAAATGCAAACAACAAAAAGGAGTTGCAAAATAGAGTGCAAATACAGCAAGACTTACAAGGAGTCAATTATGTTCCAAGCTTGTTAACTTCCTTCTTCAACCATAAACCACGAAGTCTTGATTCATAGCTCATAAAAATTTCTCGATTTGTTGCATCCTTGAGAACATGAAATGCAAGATGCTTTATCTCATCTGACACATCGTCCATGTCATGTAACACTTTTAAGCATTTTGATATTGAGTATTCATTTCCTTGTTTTGTAGTTAGAGGCTGCAAAGTGAACAGTTTTAGACCGAGACTAAGGTGCACTTTTTTCTTACAAAAGGACTAAAAGTCAAATGGTATAAAATACAATTAAATAAAATGTGGTATAACAAAGACGCAGAGGCAGACTACTACTGCTTGTGGTTGAAAAATACACTGCTGCATTGTTTTAAACATAAACAGAAATTGGGTAAAATACTTAAATACCTCAGTCAGAATGTCCATCTTCCCCAGATATGATATATTGTAGTTCCGATTAAGTGCATCATCTGCAGCGTCAGCATATGTGCATTGCCTCTTAGAAGGTTTCTCTGCAGCACCGCTGCCACAATGTCTTGCCCCTCCTGCTGAAGGTGGCACTTGACCTTTCAACGCAGGACATGAACCTAGGGTGAGGTGCCTCTTTAGATGGCTAGTGCCTGATGTTCTGGAGCAGGCAAAGGACCTCCTGCAATACTTACAGCATGCTCGTGTGCATCCATCAGAATCGGTTTCAGTAGTGAAATGTTTCCAGATGATGGAGTTCTTTCTCCAATATTTTGCGAAGGTTGGAGGTGTCACCTCAGCAGTGTTCTTACCAAGAGTCATCTCAATACCTTGAACCATTTCCCTGTCATGGATGATCATTTGGTTACAATGGGTCATTAAACCACCATGATTATTCTTGCTAACAGGGACCATTTCGCTGCAATGTCTTGATGTGGTTGGTGCTGCCTCACCAGTGTAATTACCATGAGTCATGTCAATACCTTGAACCATCTCACTGCCACATATAACCATTTGGTTGCAGTGGATCATCTCATCGCTGTGATCCATGTCATTGCAACATCTTGATGTGGTTGGTGGTGTCACCTCAGCAGTGCCATTATCCTGAGTTGTCTCAATACCTTGAAAAATCTCACTGCCCTGGATGACAGTTTCGTGACAGTGGATCTTCTCACCACCATGATCACTGGAGACCATCTCACTGCCACATCTAGATTTGGTCAGTGTCGCTGACTCATTAGTGTCACTACCATGAATCATCTCAATACCTTGATCCATCTCAGTGCCATGGGGGTCCATTTGATTACAGTGGATCATCTCACCAACATGATCCAGCTTGCTACTGGGAACTATCTCGCTTCTGTGAGCCACCTTGTTGCAATGGATGTCAACCATCATCTCCGTCTAAAAAAATAAGAAACAATTGTAATATTGATAAAAGAGCAAAGTTTTGCAAAAAAAAGTTTGAAGCAACATGTTAATCTTAGTGGCAGCAACTATGTTAATCTTAGAGCATCTCTAATAATCCCAAGAAAACAACTGGTGAATCAATGAGTTTTAAAAGTGGCTAAAAAAAGTTGGGAGTGTATTTGTTGGGTTCCTCCAACCGTTTCCAAAATCTCGCTCCTAGAAGATAGAGGCAGTTTTACATTAGGAATCCTGGACTTCTTCCAAATCACCCCAACCACTTTTATACTTTCTCTCTCTTGTACATTTGTATTGGGAACCATGCCCTTACTCCTTCCTTATTCTTTCCCACGTCCTTCCATCTCGCACGATTGGGTCAATTTTCCCAAGTGCGGAAAGATTGGGAGTTGAGATAAGGAGTTGTTGGAGAGTGGTCTTTTTTCAATCTTGCTGAAAAATCAAGATTGGGAGTGGGTTTCGGAAACTCTTGGAGATGCTCTTAGTGGCAAAAAAAATTACAACTATAGCAAGAGTCAGGAGTATAAAGTGCAGCTGTTAAATTTGACTGAACAAAGATGCTTAGGGCAATTCACGTATGGTTGGGACTTGGGACATAAAAAACTTGGATATCTTTTGATAGAAATAGAAACTGGGTACAATTCAAAAATACCTGAATTTCTTCAATTGCCGAAAAGTTTTGCGTTACAAGATCCACAACATAATTAATGGTCTCTGCAGCAAAGTCAACACAATTGTCAGTGTAAGTAGTAACCAAAAGTGCACTTTGCTCGTACTTTTTTGTTGTTGAACATCTGTCTAAGGTGTGGATCACATACCATGAGTAGTTTCAACCAGCACAGCAGGTGGCCATGGCATTTGCAAAGGATAACCAAGAGCGCTGCACTCAAACTCAGAATCGATACACATTTTCTTCAGATTGATGGCAAACTGGCGGGTTTGGTCCCAGCATAGAAGAACTAGTCCATTGGTTACTGCATGGACTTGACGCAATTGGATATCCCTGCCAAGCACTTGGCTCACTAGAGTTTTCCTCTCTGGCTCCGACATCTTGGCAGCACCATTCTCCTTTAGCAACCACACTTGCAAATGGAGGTTGTTAATGCTACCAACAAGGCCCACAAGGCAGCACATACCATCCTCAGTGTCTCCTATGGCATACATTGACTCTTGGAAGAATGTAAACGGGAGACCAAGGATGGAGAATTCCATAGTGGCCGTGTCAAGCAAGAGCGACGAAGTGTCATCGTATCTCCAAAAGATGAACCGACCGGCATGCATCGCCTGGTCATGTTGAGGTCTGTTAATGTCCTTCACCCACTGGTGGCAATGCCACTGGCGAGTATGTGAGTGGTATTCGGCAGCTCGCAACAGCTGATCATGGCCACGCTGCTGCACAGAGACCACGCGGAACGACGCCACATCGTCGCTATGGCCTTGCAGCAAACATTCAGATATAAAGGTACCTAGTTCTGCGGAAGCCATACAGGTTCGCGGGCGGACGCTGGGTCGAACACGGCGCGTGATTCGCCTCTGGAGAGTAGGAGGCGGCCATTGTAGCAGTCAAGGAGGCGCCACTCCGGATGGCTCTCGAGACCGGTGAGACCGAAGTCGCCCCCGCGCACGAATTTGGCAAGGGCGCGGTCGGAGCGGACTGAATCCGCGAGCTGGAATGAGGGGAGCCCGGTGTGCGCCCTGGGAACGTAGAGGCCGAGCAGGGGCGACGAGGCGTGGCGGGAGCGGTACCTGCGGAGGAACCCGGGGGAGGATGCGACCTGGAGCCAGCGCCTCGAGGCGAGCGCGGCGCGGACGAGGGCGGCAGGCGACTGGAGACGGAGCAGGATCTCGGCAACGGCACGGAGATCGCCGGCGAGGGAGGTGGGGGAGGTGGGGCCACCTTTGATGGGCGGCATCGCCATCAACCTGCACAAGCACCAGTGGTGGCCTGGTGGGGAAATCCGTGGATGGCGGCCGAAGCGTGGGCCGGACCCCGGCGCGGAGGACGGAGGAGCGGCGGCTGCGCGGGACTGTGGGAAGCTTCCGCCCGTTGCTCTTCCACTGGGTGAAGAAAGAAACAAATTGAAGCCCACTGCGGCCGCGCCGGCGGGAACGGCGCTGGCAGGGGGCAGCGTCGCAGCGATGAGCGGTGGCAGCGGCAGCCTTCAGGCGGTTGGGGAGGAGGGAGATTTAACTTTTTGGGTTTTTTTTTCCTCGCCATTACAATTTTTCAACCTTTGAAAAACGCCATTACAATTCATGTTATTGTAAATTTGCCATTATAATTCTGCTTGTCCCTCACCCTTGCCCTTTTCTACGCTGGAACGTACCTAGGCCCACTTGCAGGCGTCGTATTTCTGTACTGCCCCGTATTGCCCCTGGTTAAGTGGATAAGGCACTGAGGATTGAAGCTGGCGTTCCTTTCTTCTCTTTACTCCAGTTCTTCTGTCCAACGAACCCTAACCACGTTCTGGCGGTGACGATTTGGAGGCGTCGACGGCAACTGAGGCGTCAGCTTGCGACTGGAGGCGACGGCGACAAATCCTAACCAGCGTGCGTCCGGTGGGGGCGATGGAGGCGGCCTGATGGCGTCGGCGGATTCGGGCACGCCGCGCGCTGGTGCGGCTGCGATGGAGAACACCGCCACCAGGTACCCTTTCCTCCTGCTTTGCCTTGTTGTGGTCATCACAGTATGGGATTAGGCTTGATTTATGTGGTGGCATCGATGTATCGTGCATGTATATACTTTGATTTGGGGTTCGATTTACTGCATCGTAGGGATGGCATGTTTTCGGTAGAGTTTAAAGTGGAAGGATTTGCGTCTAAAGACACGGCTGGTAGGAAATCATACACAAAAGCCATACATTTAAGTGGAATGTGGAGTATGGGTCCATGACACTTGACTTGCTGCTGAAATTTCTGGCAACTGAATTGAATCTAAGTAGTAACCAGACACCAACAATTTGGTTCTTTGACAAAAGATTGAATGAGGATGCTAGATTAGTTAATGAGATACAGATGCTTGATTTGTTTGAAATGTACAAGGAGGAGATGAGCTGCCAGGTTGTAGTAGGTGTTTTCGATAGGGCAATTTGTGTGGAAGATGAATTTGACGCACTGGAGCCTCTCTGTGTGGTTCCTGCTGATGATGCAAATGTTCAGTTAGAGGCACATAGAGATCCTGATAGACAAGTAGAGGTAGCTGCTAACATGCCTAAAGAACCCAATAGTGTTGCTCCTGAGAATCCAGAGGCAGCTGCTGACATAGAACCAGATAGGGAACCTGATATGTTTGATAATGCTGAAGAATATGTGGGTGTTGATGATGAGGGCATGTATTATACAGTGCCACCTGCTCCTCGGTTTGCAAAGTCATCTGACAGTGCTAACACTTATGCTACTACTGATACAACTCACAATGTTGAGCCATCTGATGAGTTTGTCCATGTTGAGGCAGAGGTGGATGATGCTGACCCTCTGGAGGTCCATGTACTACAAGATCCTGAGAACCCAAAAATAGTGGAGGGGCAGTTGTTTACTGATATCATTGCATTCAGGAAAGCAATAAGACACTATGCTGTGAAGGCTGGGTTTGCCTTTGCTATTGGTTACAAATCAGACAAGTCAAGATTTATAGCAAGGTGTGCTGCTGAGGGATGCCCTTGGAGAATACATGCTTCCACTATATTTGATAAAAAACTGTAAAGGTACATTTTTCTAGATCTTTTTAGTTGTTCTATTCTTTTTTAATCATGTACATATTTGCAAATGCATTTATATGTTTATCTACCTTTCTGTAGATCAAAGTCCTTCCTGCAGAGCATAATTGTCCTCCCACCAAGCTTAAAGAAGGGAAAATGGCTTCTCAGGGCTGGTGTGCTAATAGGCTTGGAGATTGGGTTAAGAAGAATCCAACTAAGGGAGCAAAGGATGCAAGAGACAAATTGGAGGGTGACTTTGGAATAAAGCTGAAGTACTCAAAAGCGTGGTCTGGATTGAAGGTTGCCTTGGATCAAATTCATGGTAAGTATGAGGAAAGCTTCCAACTTCTTTTCAATTGGTCTGCTCAACTTGAACAAACTTCACCTGGAAGTCATGTACAGATAGAGTTAGAGAAGATTGGTGACAAGAATAGGTTTAAGAGGGTTTTTATTGCTTTGAAGCCATGCATTGATGGATTCCTAGCTGGTTGTAGACCCTTCATAGGAGTAGATGCATCTTTTCTACATGGAAAGTATACTAGACAGTTGGCTTCAGCAACAGGTGTTGATGGGCATAACTGGTTGTACCATATAGCATATGGCATTTTTGACTCAGAGACTAAGGACAACTGGACGTGGTTCCTAGAGAATTTACACAAAGTTATAGGAGATCCACCAGGACTAGTATTATGTTCAGATGCCTGTAAAGGGTTAGAGAAAGCTGTAGGGACTGTTTTCCCACAAGCTGAAAACAGGGAGTGCATGAGACACATGTACAGCAACTTCATGAAACACTACTCAAGGGATGTTTTCACTAATCATCTGTACCCTGCAGCTAGGAGCTATACATATTATATGTTTAGGTGGCACATGAAGAAAACTTTTGTGTATGCTCCAGAGGCAATTGACTACCTTCAAGAGCATCATGGTACGATATGGTACAGATGTGGCTTTGCTGAGGACAGCAAATGTGACTATTTAACTAATAATGTGTCTGAGAGTTTCAATGCTCAGATCAAGCACTTGAAAGGCCTTCATCTCCATGAGTTAGTTGACAGGATAAGAGAGCTGATAATGGAGAAAAAGTACATTAGAAAGAAGCTTGGACATCAATGGCAAGAAGGGATCCTACCAAGTGTTATGAAGGATTTGAATCTTATTAGCAACAATCTAAAGGTTGTCAAGGTGAAAGTTAGTGATGAGGATTTTGCAGAGGTCACACTGCTTGATGAATGGAATAACCAGAGGAGGCATACGCTGGATCTGAAAAATCAAAATTGCTCATGCAGGGAATGGTAGATAACTGGCAAGCCATGCAAGCATGCCTTGGCATGGATACTGTCCAACAGAGGTATGTAGATAGCTGACTTTGTGCATGAGTATTACTCGGTTGCTAGGTTCAGAGCAGCCTATAAAGGAAGAGTTGAACCAATGACGGATAGGTCCTAGTGGCTAGAAGTTAATCTTGGGTTCAAGGTTTACCCACCTTTGCTGGGAAGAGCACCAGGTCGGCCAAAGGTGCAAAGGCAAAGGGGTTGTCTAGAGAAAAATGCAAACAAAAAGAAAGTGCGATGCAAACGGTGTGGAGGTTTTAGACACTTCGCGAAGACATGCAAGCTTGACATGGTTGGAGAAGATGGTGAAACTGATACAAAGAAGGGGAAAAGGTTAACTTTAGTTTCAATTATTTTCTGTTATCTGTACTTTCAATTATTCACTATTATTTACTGAAAAATTGCATGTACAGGAAGCGGACAGAGTGTGCAGGTGATGATGCTGGACCATCCAAGGGGAAGAAAAAGAAGACAGCGAAGAAGAAAACTCCTAAGAACAAAAAAACCCTTGAAGAAGAAGCAAAAGAAGGATGCAGCTGCTCCTCCAGCAAAGGTTGTCAGGAACCTGAAGGACCTGTTTTCTGATGGACAGTGAACCTGATGGTGCATTTCAAGCTATTTTGTGACCTTTCTTTTGCCTTTTGTAATATAATGGCATTGAACTGTGAAGGTAGATGCCTGTTGTTGCACTGAACTATGTGTGATCTAGATGCCTGTGATGGCACTGAACTGTGTGTGATCTAGATGCCTGTGATGGCACTGAACTGCGAACTAGATGCCTGTGATGGCCTATTTTGTGGATGCATGTGATGTCATCTAAACTGTGAACTGGAATGCTGAAATGCTTGTAAGCTGGGCATTTTCTGGATGTAGTGCTTCAAAACTTAAACAAGCTGTGAATTAATGCTATTCTTAGAAGTGCTATGGTTTCAGTGATGCTACTGTGAGTTATTGATATATTTTAATAATGCTATTGTCCTATTAATTATCCCAGCAATGCTTCTATCTTGCTGAAATACATGTGTCAAACTGAAGGACTCTCAATCTGAATTTCCATACATACCTACATTTTCAAACTGAAAGCAGCTATCACAGAATACATTTCAGACATTTTCAAACTGAAAAGCACACAAACTAGAAGCAGCTATTACAGAATACATTTTAGTTTGGGTTTTAGTTTCAGTCTGGCTACTGGCATACATCAGCTGACCAACAAAAGCAACACACAGACTGCTTTCAAATCCTACATTCGACACCACTGGCTACTTCCATATTTTGCTCATAAGACAACCAATAGCTACACCTACACACACTGCTGCAATAATAACGTAGTCCTTCTTCACAACCTGTACTTGCACCTTCAGCTCCCACAGATCCATCACAGCACTGTCAAGTTTTGCCTTCACTACCTCCAAATCTTGCTTCAGGTCCAAACTGAGGTCCATAGACCCATGTCCACCATCTACTGAATTGAATGGGATCACCTTCTTCGACCGAATTGGGTGCTACTCTGGGTTGCGTAGGTAAGCTTCATACTGCGCCTCAGACATGATGATAGGACATGTAGTTGAGTCATCCTGCATCACATGAAACCATAGCCTCATGAACACCATCCAAAATTGAACAAAATAAATTGACTTACTTTGATGTTGTTTGGACACTTGAAGAAGGTCTTGCTGTATGTATCCCGCTGCTTGCTTGTGATACGTACTAACTGAATGCGGCACTTTGGGCAGTCCACGAGCGGGAACAGCGCTGGGCTCTAGATGGCCACCGAGCTAGAGCATGCCGCTACCCCTCCCTTAAATTGGCTGCTACTCATCTGGGAAACAGCAGGCGGCAAAGGCATAGGACAAAAGCAGGCGGGCGTCAGTTGCGGGCAAAGCA